ACATAATCATAATTTCTAAATTTGAATACAACAATATAAATTTTGTTCGCATAATCAAAGCATGATGATAGTGCCAGCTTGTTTTTGAAAGATTCACAACGCTCAGTTATTTCATTTACAAATATGTCATCACATCCATCTCTTGAATGTCCTCTTGCAATGCCCTAAAATTGACAGAAATGTTTTCTTATTGCATCACTATTTACTACCTGCTTCAATATAAACACAACATGTAGTTTTTTATAACACAAAACAAAATAAAAAGACGAATTTGTTATTGCTTTGACAAAATTTAATGTATTTGCTCGTAAATTTTGAAAACGTTTATTACGTGTTAAAATGGGGGGGGAGCATATGATGAGAATTACTTAAGTCAGGAAAATTAATATTTAACTAAATACGAATACTGATCGTCGTAGAAAAGCCTAAAATTTTATGTACAAAATAGTTTATATATGAAACTGAAATGCTGTGACTAAATCTGAAGGCACTGCACTTTTTAAACTCTGAAAACATTCTTCCTTATTGCTGAATAATGCTGAGCAAATATTAAAGTAAAAATTATAAATATGTTCAAATGTACTAACACATGCGTAACACACGACATGCATGTTACATTGGATATCGAACAGAGATTTGCCATGGTTCTCCTGCAAATAACTCACGTTACAACCAAATTCTCTAAATGGTGAAGTTTTGCTGCATGACGTCACTGATTGTAGCAGGACAAGAAAAATAACCAAACGCGCAGTGCCGATGTTGGTCATCTACAATTTAAATGAAACGGATTAAACATTAATTTCATTTTTGATTATTTACCACGATTTACATACACGATTCTAACCAATTGATAAATTATTATAATAAAGTGAGAAAGTCTTTCAAAAACTGATTTTCTAGCGGAGGTTTTCTTCGCCTGTGTAGATTTCCTCTCAAGTAAGTTTACCAAAGTAATGCTTACCATAATCATAAATTATGTATTTTTATTTCCTAACGAATCGTTTAGTTTCCATTACTAAAAATAATTACCGGTAGTTTTATTTCCTTCCGAACACTACTGAATATATCTGTTCTTGTGTTACTGGCAACTTATTTGAAATATACGTCATGTGATTTATAACTGTTGATAAATCATCCTCGATGTTATCTATTGTCACAGCTTGGTTCGTTTATATTACTTTGAATCTTCTGCTTTTGTTCTTCGTATTACAATAGGAAATACAATTTAATGTCTTAAAGGCACATAGGCCTAATGCATCAGAATTCCATTCTTTTTAATACTTAGGAAATGTCCAAGGAAATGTCCATCGTGAGTTTAATAATGGTTAAAGAATGCATTAAGTGTATGTTAGATGTTTTACAGCTGAAAACAGAAGCGTAGAACATGTACATGAACTGTAAAACGCATGTACAAAAAAAGAAATATAGTTATACAAAGAATGGAAATTTTCCATCAATAATTTTATTTTATTATTGACAACATTACTTCGAGACATGAAATAATACAACAATCTGTATGAATGCTTCAAATGTGATTTTTGTATGCCACATGTTGTCAGTGTAACATAATTATTGCATGGCTTTGTTCTTACTTATCCATTATACTCAGTACATTTTCAAACTCCACATGAGTTTTTTCGCACCTTGTATTATTATATATCAGTGTAGTTTTTTCACAGAGGCTCCATTAGGGCCGGGGTGACGAACAAGAAGCAAAAAAAAAATAAATAAATAAAAATGTGAAAAGAATGAAATAAAATAAAATAAAAATAATATAAACAAGCACAATTTATTAAATGAAATCTATTCTCATATAATCAAAAGATACATCCGCTAAATGAATTATTTCCGTTGAAAAAAACCTTAATCTTGAATTATTCTTAAATAAACATTATTTTCTCCACAAGGTAACAGTTTAAGGGGCGTCCGTGGCCGAGTGGTTAAGGTCGTTGACTTCAAACCACTTGCCCCTCACCGCAGTAGGTTCGAATCCCGACAGGGACTTTGGTTTCTTTCATGTGATGAAGCTATCCAGCTAGCTTACGGAACGTCGGTGGTTCTACTCAGGTGCCCGTTCGTGCCTGAAATAATGCATGGAAGGGCACCTGAGGTCTTTCTCAACCTGTAAAGCTGGAACGTCGCCAAATGACACTTGTGTCGATGTGACGTAAAACCCAAAACAAACAAAGGTAACAGTTTACAATCCGTCTCTAGCATCGGATGTCTTTATGTTTTCAAGGGTTGTATTTCTTGATTTATATTTTTTTAATTTATTTTGTGGCAGCGAAAACAACTTAACATAACTGCCTTTTAATAAAAAGCTGTAAGGCAGCTGACGATTTATTTATTTATTTTCCTGATTTCTGTTACAAAAAAAGACACAGCATTATGGCATTACGATAAAATGGTAGTAGTATATGAAACTCGTTTGTTATGAGGATATAACACTGGCTTGGCAATGTTTCTGCAAAAAGATTTTTAATGGCCTAGCCATTTGCCTAGCAGAAACATCCCTTGAGGTCAGACCTTCGCATTGTAACATGGCCAGCGATTGGCTGAAAAAAAAGTGCAGTATGATTCAATTAGACATGAGGTGATTGGATGAAAATATTTTTAAGTGTAAAAACTTATTTAAAAAGTAACACTACATTGTTTTCTGAAGAAAATGAAATATTTCATAAGTCTCTATATTTTTTGACTTGGATATTTGCATTAATTTTATAAAAGTGTAAGTCAGTCTTGTGATCGGCAGAAGGGTAATCCTCTTTGAAGTAATTTTGCAAAACATTTGGTTGGCTGCCCCTACATAACAGGAACATTTTTATGTCAGGCATTTCATTTCGCTAGAAAAATCACCTCTTTAGCATAAAAACTCAATTTTAAGGTAGGATTAGGGACCATTTCTTATAATGTAAGTCTATGGGAAAATCAATGTGAGTGTCTGACCTTGATGTCGCCCCAGCCAGTATAATATATCCTCTAACTAACTAACTCGTTTCATATACTATAATTATTACATTTTTTTCTTTTGTTTTTTCTTCAGAGAGATATGTATTAAGCGGAATCCTCTATTTCTGGCTCATATTGGTAATAAGCGCATGCGTTCCTCTGTGTGTTTTTCATGCGCGTCCACATTCATAGGCCTTGTCAATTGTTGGCTTGCCGGAAGCAGGTGTGGGAAACGGGGTATGCTGAGCAAGGTGGTCATTCTGAAATCTACCATAACAGTGAAATTGTCAATTAATAAGTATAGTTGCCTCAACAATTTGCATCAGCTCGTAAAAACACAAGAATGGGCGGAAAAAACAAGTCATCAATGGTAATATTCTCTTAGTGGTCAGTTATCAGGTAAACTGTGGCGATGTCCAAAATTGCCGACCATTTTGGACTCCCCTCCCCCACCCCCACCCCTGTCAAACAAATTCCACGGGGTGGTTGACAACTTCAGATCCGCGCCTCTTTGATTGTAGTGATCCAGCTATTGCATGAGAAAAACAAATGAACGTTGCGCTCCTTCTTCAAATAAAATGTTTACTTAAAGATCCTGTAACACACTTTTTATGGTTTTAAATCATAAATATGATGCTCAAAATTAAGATTTATCAATATTGTAGGTTCTCCCAAAAAAGACATTATTTATATATAAAGATATTACCGAATTTAACATTTCAAGTAAATAAAGGGAGGCAATAAAAATTTATTTTCTATAAAGTTTAAGTCAAATTTAACAATTAGAAATGAATGCATATATTTTGATGATAACATATAATATGCACAAATGACTAAGGTTATGACAAATGACTAGGGGTACCTCAAATGGGGTATTCTCGTGGATTAGCTCCGGATAACTGGCGGCAGCTTGGTGTTGAGTCTTTAAGTCTCCAATGCGTGCCCAAATTTTCAGGTTATAATTCTCTCGCAGATGTAGAAGTTGTAGAAGTGGTTGTCGTTGTCGTAGTCATCAAAGTTGTAGAATTCGTAATCATGGTTAAAAAAATCTGGAAACATTATGATCTCCCGGAGGCATAAATCACAACAAAATTACATGAAAATTGCAGACTCGGTTTGATTGAGTCTTTACATGAGGTATAATGAATAAGTGCAACATCCCTTGATGAAGGGGGGGGGGGGGATGGGGTCAGCGTCAAAATAGCTTCATAATGACGTAATCGTTGTCGATTTTTTTTTCAATAGAAAATAGTACATTTTACATTTTAATGAAGTAATATAGATGTTGATTTTCTGAATAGAAAACCCGACATCATTTTAATGATCGTTTTTAATAGAAGAAAATACATTTAAAAAGGGTTGATTTTATGAATAGAAGAACGGAACATTTTTTACAAAACCACAATACTGCCTACAATACTACTAAAGATTTTATATAGTGCGTCAAAACCAACTACTAGTATCTGGTATTTGTTAGTATTTTCTTTACTTTACTATTATTAATCGAAATATCATAAAAATAAAACCGTTACTAGACACACAAAAAGAGGCTTTTGAGAAATAGAAATGATATTTTTAAAACCCTAATGGGCCTTTAACATGTGTTGATGATAAAAAAGTATCTAAATTAGAAAAATTGTCCAAAAGACAATCCTTTAATTCTGAATTTCAGTTAAAGACATTTTCGGGAGTTTTCATACAGACATATAAGTAAAATAAAAAGTGTTTGGGGTCACCGCTCTGGTTTTATATTTGCCCTTTAATGCTTAATTCAAATGAAATGTTTTCAAATAAGTAAATTATTCTGATTTAAGGGCAGATAACTCAAACGTAAAATCGGACACACCCAGGTCTATAAAGAAATTCTATTAAAAAGTTTATTTCTGCCTATATATCTAGTATATGAAAACTCTCGAGAGCGCCCTTAAAAGAAAGGATGATTCTGGCGTGTATTGTTTTAGATATAACTGATATTTAAACAACATAACGTTTCTTTGTTTTTTTGTTGTCTTTTTTTAGATTGGGTATTGTCATTTTGATATTGAATAACATTTAGTACCAAAACTGATACTCCATTTAATGTGAATTATTATTTGTCACTTAACAAATGTAAAATATTTTTTGCAAGTTCTATCATTATACTTTATTTTGTACAAACAACACAAGAGATTTCTCGGTTTTTCACGTATTTCGGACAGGTCAGGGTGCCGCACTGTCCAGTAACTCTGTAAAGCCATGACCCGTCTTCGTCTCTGAAGCCAGCTACCTCAACTTCCGGAGCGTTGTCAACGCATAGGTAACTGGTACCGGAAGCTGACCCGTGATGTCCAGCCATGAGGTAACCATGGTATTCTAGACGCCAACCGGTGTAGCACTCGTTCCTTCCAGGGATCATTAGAGACGTTGACCTTTTCTTGCTGCGGCAAACGGCACACGGAACGTTTTGATTAAGAAGCGTTTTTCCTTTAGCAAATGCCATGTCAACAATGTTAGTAAATGCCTCGTTATATTCCATTCCATAGATAAATGCACTTCCTGCTTTATCGGTATAACGGCCCCAAACCGGGATTTTCGGCAGACATTGGTGATTGGTAGCTGCCCCATAATGTCCGTGCCAAGATCCAGCTGCGATCCCTGGACAGATAAAATTATATATCACAACTATTTATCATCACTTAGACTAAAAATAAACAATAAACACATTTTTTATTGTTATTATTATTATTATTATTATTATTATTATTATTATTATTATTATTATCATCATCATCATTATTATTTATTCAGTTATTTAATTTTTGTACTATTTAGTAAATGTACGCACCAATCTTTATGAAGGCATTATCTTGTGATAAGTATAGAAAAATTATACTTAGCATGTATACTGCATCATGAAACAGTGCATATGAGTAGTAGGAGCGTCTCTTACTACTCATATGACATTTTAGAAATAATGAAGGTAAAATGATAGTCCTTGTTTTTGAAAATTCTTATATTTACCGGAGTAAACCAGTTCAGTCGCTTGACCCGAACATGTTTTTCGGCCCCACCTTACGTACATAGCTCCTTCTGTAACAATTGAAGAAATGCACTTCAGAATAAAACGTGTATCAAATTAAAATTGACCCAGAAATATTCAAAATACATTCTCATTAAAAAAAGCAAATATACCATTTGTATCTTTCGTTTTATTGCGTTAAAAGATTGCTGAAAATAAATTGGGTCCGTTTTCCTCACTCGCTTGTTAACTATGTTATTGAAAAACGATTTTTAGCATATTTCAGAATGCCAATTTCAATAAGAATCAATAAATTTAAAGGTCAAATGTAACAGACATGTAAAGTATGCGAGGGGGGCATTATTATGGGGAGAAATGGTACTATTGTTTTAACACTTTGTTTTCATTACAAACAAAAGAAAGAGTAACTTTGGTATACCACTAATAACACGTTGAGCGACTTTTACTTTTTCTATAACTTTCTCTTCAATACTTTCGTTATCTGCCCTTTTCATTCTCTCATTGATTGTCAGTCCCTCCTAAAAAAACACAGTTCAATATACAATTCATCAATTTCATTTTTTTTTAAATAACAGTTTTATTATTAATATGATCGTTTCGTTTCTAATTTCGTTAACAATAGTTATAAATAATATTAACACAAGTTGGCGTCAGAATATGTCAATCAAAATTCATATCATAGAGGGGCTTTATTGTACAATCTATTGGTAAAGTTACTGACGAAATAAGCTAATTTATGGATGAAATATTTATTAACTAGTTTTTAATGAATCATTTTAAGATAGAATAAACACATTTATTTACATGCCAAAGCAAACATATTACATCGATTCTTCTTACATCATTAGCTTTAAAGATTTTGACGTGTTATATGACCCTTTATAATACTGCACGTTTGTAACGTTGCTTTTCATTGGATAATCGTGACGTTTATATAGTTTTATACATGGCTGCTGTCGATATATAAAGAAATCACGCATTATTCCTTTAAAAATAATGCTTGCGGTATTATAAATTCGTTATAAAGATTGTTGACATGTTATATGGCCGTATATGAACGGATGTATGCAATATAACCCTCGCCTAGCGGTTCGGGTTATATTTACAAATAGCCGTTTATATAGGGCCATATAATCTGTCAACAATCTTTATAACTATAGTCTGTCCCATTAAAAATGGAAATGAACTTTTGCCTGGTATGAATTAACAAAACGACGTTGAATAAAAAATAAAACTTTTTTGTAAACTTAAAAAAAAGTCACCCTCGAGATTTTTCAGGATTTTACTCTAAAGTGTCTACTTTTCTTGTGAAAGCAAATTTTGATTTCTCTATGGTAAATCTCTGTTGTTTATTTTCCGTAGCCATTGCCGAAGTACTCTTCATTTGAAGATAAACGGGAGAAAGCACGTGTCATGTTGAGGTTCTCGGGGTCGTTTCATGATTATTTTACAAAGCTGGATCTACAAGATTAACAGTTTAGTTGCAATGCATGATGGAAAACTTTAAAAAATGAAAAATAAGCAACAAGAACACGAGTCACATGGATTAGGCTAGATCTAGAAATTGCACTTACTTTTAAGCTCAATATATAGAATCCCTATGAACTTTATAAACGTCAGGACAAATTCGCATTCTGAAGATTCCTTCATTGCCAGTTTCTATCCAGTTCCGTAGTTCCCCCTTTTTTACTTCAAAAATCCTGAATGACATGACTTCTAACGTTACACTTTTGATGATTCAGATTTTTAAAACTGATAATCCGTCTCATTATTAAAACATTGTTCTATTTGTTGAGTTATTTGGGTTAGCAAATGAAATATGTAAATGAAACACATCATAATTCAGCATGTTCCAAATCCATAATTCAAGAACGGCCCATCAATTTTAGTTGTCAACATCACAATGCTTATGGATTCCTGACGAAAAAAACACTTTATTACGTCAACAACAATTTACGAAATATATGACGTAACAAAAATGCCTCGCGCTTTTCATGGATGATTCCAGTTGCGGCATTAACAGAGGGCGGTTAGACATATGTAACCTCATACAGATAATTTTAAGCGTTGAGATAAATTTGTCTTGATGGCATTTAAAATAATTTTTGTATACCCAGATTTTGCAACTTAACTGTAAAAATACACCTTCAATTCAATTTATATTAATAATATAAAACTTTTGATAGTTTAACATTTAAAAATAATTTTAAACACTCTTAATAACATGAATCTACAACAGTACAATACTTCGTGTAGGTTAGAGTGCATATTGGGTGTTCTTCGTAAATAAGAAAGCTAAAAAGGAGCGGAGCTTGCGAAGCGACTGTAGCTTTCTTATTTACGAAGAACACCCAATATTCACTCTAACCGGCTTAGTGCTCCGCCCACTTGCGTTTCATAATATAAAACGTCCAGTTTATATAAAATCTGTTCTATTAATATTTGAAACCCGAACATTTGAAAAATCCTCGTCGGTGATTGGCTTAAAAAAATTGGCGAGCACTAATTCCATTAATTACGTATAACATTCGTTTTGATTTTATGTTTTTAAACTATTTTATATATTTCTCAGAAATAAATTTCCCTACATATTATCTCGTTATTCAAACTTCTGTAAATCCTATTCTTTTAGCTACAAAATATACAATACGCGGTATTTTTTCTCCCGCGAAAAATATGCTAGATCTATTGTTTTTTCACTTAATATTTTCAAATTTTAGGAAGGCTAAAATTATTGAGAACGTCACTCGGTGTTTCTCTTTGACTCGATCTGCCCTTCATATTAACAAAATAATTATATGTAACACTTTGAGTCTACAAAAAAACACTTATTGTCGCTTATTGAACACTCCAATTCAAACTTACTCTGAATAATATCAAATCACTGCCGGTATTTCTGGACATTTTGTTAAACTGTGAGACGGAATTTACGAGCTTAAAGTGTATAGGCCTACGTTTGATTGCTTAAACTAGAAAGCATGATATTATATTTTTATAATTCACATTTTCCTCGAAAGCGAGTCTGTGTTCTCTCGTTAGCGAGGGGGTTAGTTAAAGTAGACACTGTGGTAACAAACAAACCAATGCTGAACGTATAGTGAATCAGTTTTCCTTTCTTTATATTTTTTGTCAGATTTGCTTGATAATGTAGTATTTGTTGGCGATTTCTTGTGAAAGTTGAAATCTACGGAAAGTTTTAGCGCACGAACATCGCACCCGAAATGAGTTGTGTAACATAATTTTGTAGCCCATCGAATCTGGTCAATTTATTTATTTTTGAATAGACGTGATACACACTTATGGACAGAATTCAGACAGCTACAGAATTATGTAAATTAAACATTAATTAGCGAAGGACCATTTTTTATAGTCTTCTAGCTAGTGTTCCCGCTCCCCTACAACGCGTTGCGGTATTCAAGATACGCGCTTGATTGAAAAGCTATCTAATCAAATCACTTCAGTGTTCTTTTTCTCTTAAAAAATATAAGATACGACAGTATATCATGGTTATTAATTAAATCTTTTTGTGTTACATTTTATAAAGCTTACTGATATTTTCACTTCAAATGATTATGATTATTTTAAATAATGGTTTGCTAGTAAAATTGCCTTTTTGACACCAACTTTGTTGTCATTTTTCATTTTAATGATAACATTTAGCTATTGATCAGTAAGTAAATAAGAATAATTTTTTTTATAATTACCGAGTACATTTCACGCTAATTGTGAGACGAACCCTAAATGACGTCTATATGGGCGCCGCCATTTTAAAATGGACGTCACGTCAGTTTACAACGTAAGTCAACGGGAAAAAATATAATTTTAACATTTTAACCATATTACTGACTTTATGAAAAAAATGAAAAACATGCCTAGAGATATTGACGTCAGGGTTAACATGACATTAATTTAAATGATTTTACTATTATATTAAATAAAAAATGGAATGTTCAAATTTGATGGGACAGACTATAATAATATACACGGCTGCAGGCTATTCATGAAGAAATCTTACATTTTTCACTAAAATGATGCTTGCTGTATTATAAGTTCGTTATAAAGGTTGTTGACAGGTTATATGGTCGTATATAAACGGGTTTTCAACCCTAGCGGCTCGGGTTATATTTACAAATAGCCGTTTATATAGGGCAATCTTTATTACTAATAATATATACGGTTGTTTGGAAATATAACCCGAGTCTGGCAAGCATCATTTTTAGAGGAAAATGTAAGATTTCTTCACCCAATAAACAAAAATTATGTTTTCACGGTCTTTGCTAACCTTATAAAAGTATTGGGATAACTTTAACATACCATTTTTTCGGCTAGGATGTCCATGTTCATAGGAACGACGCTTTTTTCAAAGGTTGAAAGTTCCTTCAAAATCTCCGAGTACTTCCGGTCGTGCTTGCTGTTGAACGACATTATCATCCATAGTGATAAAACCATGCAGAATATTCCAGAAAATGTCGCAATAATAATATCTGTCATATTTTGCGGTTCGGATCGGAATATCCGTCCCGAGGTGATCCGCCCATTGGGCGGTAACGAGGCTTGCCGAGTTACCGCCCATGGGCGGGTGACCGAGGGACGGATATTCCGATCCGAACCGCAAACATATGTCAGATATTTTTTCTTGCATATTCTACCATATTCCATTATTTTTTAAATTATTTAACTTTATTTTCAATGAAAATTTATATCATTACAACCGTAACTGCTTTCATTCAACAGCGTATGAATTACAAAATCATTCATAACGGTAAAATGACGTCATCTTTATCGTGCCATTGTACAGCACGCGACTCATCTGGAACCCCTCATGCCAGATGAAATTTCTGGCATGGGTAAAACTAACGGAAACGCCAGTCTGATATGCAAGAAAATGATGTCCATTCTTTTTTATGTACAACTTTAAACTTGCCACATTCATTTTTATAAAAAAAAAGCAATTTAAAGTTTTATTTTAATTTATTATACTGAATATCTTAAACGAATATTCATATATCTTGGGATCCCTTTGCATGAAAATTTAATATAATTTGTTTCGTTGTTGTTGCTTTATTTTGCAGGTGTTTGTTAACTTGCACGTAAACACTCGAAAACGAAAAACAATGATCAGAGATGTAATCACAGAAAAACATTCCTTATTCATATTTCAAAACAGGAAATTTTAAACAAAAGGTTGTGCACAAACTTTGATGAGTATCTCTTTCAGGGTAAAATAAAATTGTAACAAGAAATGCTAATCTTTTGCATCGGATATTTTAACGTTTACTAAAATTCTTTGTTTTACTTTTTTGTGTGTGTCAGCTAACCAAAGCAAGGTACATTCAATGTCATATGATGTTGCATTTTTCATCTTTTTCATTTTTTTATACATTTCTTTTGTAAATGTTTATCTACAAAGACTTCCTTGTATATTTTTCGCATAGTCCTATTATGCTGCACAAATTGTTCAACCTCGTCGAGTTTAAAAAACAAAAAAAAAAAAAAAAACAAAACAAAAAAAAAACAAGTAACATATTCAAGAAAGCAGTAATGGTCCTAGATCGATTACCGGAGAACTAGACACTGTTATAGTTTCATCAAAGCAAAAGTGGCAATGTTTGCTAAGGTCAAAGGTCAATTCCACACACAAATTGTACTTAATGCCTAAATCTGAATTTCAAAGCTTCATTAGTAGCACGATGGGTCATGGTGAGATTCACTGAAGGATGAAATTAATGTACATGCACAAACATGTATTTACGTCAAACAGTACAGTATAACCACGACATAGAGGCCGTATATAGACCAATAACATCTTTTCAACGCAATTATTGTCTCTTCCAAAAGTAAAACTTTCACTATATTTTACCTCTGTAGAGCAACAACTCTCAACAATCAAAATATTTGTCTCCAGAGGGTGTTGCTTTGCAAAGGTTATACTGTAATTTCAAATTTACCTTAACCATTTTAAGCATTTGATAGATACGAAAATAGGCGAGAGAAATAAGTTTGCAAAGGGAGATCATTTTGACCCCAAGGCCAGTAATTCGTGCATTCTGTTTAAAGTACCACAAGATAATGCTTTATATCAAATTTCTGTGTGTATTCTGCCAAAGAAAGAGATTATCCATTAAATTTTCTTTATATAAGTCTAAATAAAATTGTCGAACCTCATGTCGGGGCTATTACCGTACCAAGGACTATGACAACAAACAACATATTTGGATATTCGATGAGTAAAATTTCAAAAATATCATTAATATTTGACCTTTCAACTCTTTCATAACAGATAATATTAATGAACCTTTATCTACATCTTTACTTTTTAATGTGCAGTATATATCAAGATCATCAGGGCTTGATGATAATCAAAGACTCGAGGTCGGGGATAAAAAAGAAAGAAAAAAGCGTAATCTGGATGCATAATATGTTCTTTCAGATGTGGAGTTTGACCGACTGTACTTCGGGATACATGTACGTAAAAGAATAAGATGTGTTTTAGGACGTTAGTCAAACTAATTCAGCTAAAGTCCTTAGACAAATAAAATAAAACTATTTTAATATAAATTGCTTTTATTAGATGAATTCACAATGTTACACGTTGACTTTATACATGTAATTGTAATTTTAAAATCTTTTATTTATATTACAATGTATTTCAACGTGCAAACACAAAATGGACTATTGTTTTCTTTTATACCAACAATATGGCCAAGAGTTATTTATTTATTTATTCATTTATTTATTTTGAATGTTTAAATGAAGTATCAAATTAGAAACTTATCAAACAAAATACATGTAAATGCAAACAGAATATTATCTTTGCACAAATGTATTAGAATATTAAAGATTGAAGTTCAACAGAAAAAAAAGATATCTTTTTAATTCAGTCTGTACATTTAAAATACAGATATTTTAATGAAGAGTGGTAAAGTTAAAGATAAAACAACTTCAGCAGCGATTGTTTTAATAAAACTGCTATGTTTGAGTCAGTTTTAAGTTTATTTGGTACAAACAGAACACGGCAATTCACGGTTTTGCACGTAGTTCGGACAAGGCAAAGATCCGCACTGGGCGGTCACCCTGTATAACAGCGCTCCATTTTCATCACGGTACCCGGCCGGATCGGCTTGCGGTGCCTGGTCGACACAGATATAGCTGGTACCAGCCTTGCTACCATAGCGTCCTGTTATGAGATAACCGTGATATTCATAATGCCAACCCGGAAAACAATCAAATTTGCCGGGAACTATTAGGGAGCTGATTCTTTTCTTACTGCGACAGACGACACAAGGGACGTTGTGATTCAACAACGGTTTCTGAATGTTGGAAGTGTCTATTAGCCCATCCAGAGATTCTTCGAATTCCATACCATACATAAACGCACTTCCGGCCGTGTCTGTGTACCGGCCCCACACAAGGTCATTCGGAAGGCACTGGATATTTGTCGCGGCACCAAGGTGAGTGAAATGGGAACCTCCCGCAATACCTTAAATAAATCATCTGAGAAATTAAAGACTGGTAGTTGTTTAGTGAACAAAACAAAAAAGAACTATTTTAGTCACCTACACAATTCATAAATTACTAAATTTGTAAGGATAATGTTAATAAATATCTAAATGCATAGTAATACACTAAATAGATGATATTGAAGTAGTGTCAGTTTAATACTGAATTTATTGAACGAGTTGAATAAAGTTATATTATGCAAGTCAGTCTCTATAGCAGTGAACTTACACAAATTGAACATTCTTTTTATCACATACCACAAATAATATTCTTTTTATCACATACCACAAATAAAGACCGTTCGAAGTGATAAAGAACCTTTTTTCATTGACGCGCCTATAGTATAGCGCAAATGACGTTACGTCAAAATATATGCACGGCCGTGCAGTATCATTTTTACGGAGTTGAATAAGCGTTACCGGTATGTACTAGTTATTAGTGTAAGTTTCATACCGAATTAATTTGACGAATAAAATACAATTAGATCACACGCGCTTGTGATAAGCATAAATGAATCATGATATTGTTGTATTCAACCAAATCAATTAATTTATAGTTCAAGTGATTAAATTCTTTCATATCCAAAATTATAACAATTTCCACTTTAAGAGAGTCATTTTATCGATCATGACTGTGCTTAAATTGTAACACTAGTAGTTTAGCGTGATTTTCCGGTGTGTTTGTATAACGTAAAATTATGAAGTAACACCAAAATGCCAGGAAAGTGACGTATGTGATGAGTATAATTAAAAGTGTTTCTCGTGGCGCTTTGCGTTTTTTCATAACACCTTACCGTCATGCAACAACTGAGACACGATCTACTCCGTCCAAATCTATCAATTTCATAATTCAATTCGAATAGTTTTAAAAATATTCTTTCTAAATTTTTAAAAAAGAAGATAATTATGTTTGGTTTCCTTAAAAGCGATCAGAAAAAAACGATATTTCGGGTACTTACCGCTGTACACTTATTCAGTGTTAGCCCCGCTACCTAGGTAAGTTGTCCTACCCCATCTAATATGCACAGCTCCCCCTTAAATAGAAATGAAATAATTGTAATACCTATACATTTAACAAATAAAACATGACCTTGGGGGCAATATGCATGTTTACGGACTGGTTGGTCAGACTGAGGAAGGTATATGGCCCGAAGCGAAGCTGAGGGACAAATACCTTCCGAGATCTGACCAACCAGTCTGTAAACTTGCATTTTACCCGAAAGGCCATGTTTTATTTATTATTACACCGAATCTAATTCTTTCAAATGATTAATTTATTTGTTCAGTGTGTCAAATATCTCAAACCCTATAGTCGGATTTTATTCTTTTTAAGCGATGCAGCAAAAAAATCTTGCTCTTTTAATATTCCATTTTTGTTAAACAAATTAAATATTTAGTGTTAATATGCAAAAAAATCCGGACTTTAAGAATTTCACAAACTTTATAATTAAATTAAACACACATCTTGACTTTTGATCAACATGTAATAAATTTATGTGAATTCAGTAAAAAGAATCATTTATAAACAAAATAAAATACTACACCTCATTTGCATGCGCCCTTCTATATTTAATATGACGTATTCAGTCCATATAAGAATTATGGATTGGGTAGCCGGTCAGTATGCGATTTATGGACCGGATGACGTCATATTAAATAAAGAAGGACGTATGCAGATGATGTATAATATACGGGATTAAACTCCGGACGTCAAAATGGTTATACAATTTTCGTTAAGTACTGTACGGGATTCTTAAAGCCACATTAAACCTAAAGATGCTACCATTATTTTTCCTCCAGAGAAAAGACAAACTTGTGGCTTTAATATATTTTTTTTAATTTACGGATTAAAAGCATGTTAGATGCTAAGCATGTAAAGAAGACAACAGTTAATGTTAGATAATTTGTGATACAGGTAACAAAATGATTAGAGGGCCATATATGATATTTTGTATTTGATTTAAAGTCACTTGACTTAATTGCCAAAAAATTAAAAGATGGTTTAGCTACTTTATGGCGAATAAATAACATTTGGGAAATTATGAGAATTTATTATATACTTATAAATGAAATATTGAGAAATATTGATGAAATAAAATGCATATTTTCATTTTCGGTATTTTCACTGTAAACTTTATTTTTCACAGCAGTGAAATATATGTTCCGTATTTTCACTGGTGTCTTGCCGGACTACTTTCTTCTATATTCAGCCAATACACATAATTTAAGGAGAATTCTTTCAAAAAAGAGAGAAATATATATATGATAAACAGAAAATTCAAATTTTTCTACAATACAGGATTTATTTTTAACTTGTGGGAAGAAAATTATCATATTTCACTCGTGGCTACCGCCACTCATGAAATATTTATTTTCATACCACTCGATGAAAATAAATCATGTATTTATAGAAAAAACATGAATATCCTCTATGTATTAAAATAAAATATATTTCTTAGAATTGAAATTGATAGCATTTTAAAGGCAAATTTGGGTCTTTAAATGAAATATTAATATTTATATTTCAGTGAGCAGGAAGGCAACAGGACAATTATAATGTCACAGTACGAAGCCCGAAAGATTGATATT